GGACGGCCGCTCCTCCTCCAGTCAGAGAGGAAAAAAAAAACCACACCTTTACTCGTCATCTAAAAACAACGCGTGCACACAGACGTGCAGGCAGCACGACGCCTGACAGACACATTTGCATACAGAAAGTTCCCGCCAGCCAGACGTCTAATTCATTTACATTTATTTCCATCTTTGAATGAATCACACTCTCCTGAACGCTAAAAGAGAGAGATTTAAACTGACAGTTGAGCGTTAGGTGATGAGCCGCCTGTGCACTGTGTGCAGCAGCTGGATTACACACTGTTGCTTTCAAAAACAGGAAACACATTTCAGCAGGTGAAGCGGACCGGCAGCTCAAAGTGGACTCTTCTGGGCCTGAAGTCTGTGTGGGATCTGAATCAGTGACCCGGATGAAGCTGAAGATGAACTGTGGAACAAAAGTCACCTGCCGACAAACGTCCAAGTCTGTGTCGGACAATAAAGACGAGGCGAAAGCCAACGATTTCCTAAATCAGCCACGTTTACATCAGGAAAGTTTCTGCCAACTTCTAACCAGCGATTATTTTCACAGTCGCTTAAATTCATCTACAGATAATTCTCTCCCATCATGTACCTCAACACGCTCTCCTCTAACAAAAACATCTGAACATTACAAAGAACAACTAACAGCTGTCCAAGCAACCCAGCACTGTGCCGGTTCATTTCCAACCTGCTGCTGTCACATCCCGACAAATCCAAACGGTAATTTCAGATGGCCAGCGGACATCTGAGAAGGACATGAAGTCCACCAGCTGACACAACTCTGTGAGAAGAAGTCGTCGTCGTGTATATATAAATATAAATATATATAAAAATCCAGGTTTCAGTCTGGCACGTCTACACCAGCAGCACAGGAACACGGGACGTCTTAATAAAGCTTCCTTCCTCCATCACACGCTCTCCACTATATCTGGCTCCTATAAAACTACATTTATAGTTCAGAGTGTCTCAACAGACACTCGACACGTTTCTTTTTTATTTGGAGTTCTGGATTAAGTTCTTAGGATTAAAAACGTGCGATGGGAAATTATCTTATTTTTCACATTTAAAAAGACAAATGATTAACTGAAAACAGAGAAAAGACAGACCAGGCTCTGGTCTTGTTTTGATAAAATAAAATAATAAAGATCATGTTCAAATATTGTAAAGGAGTTTGTCCTTCCTGAGTTGGAGCTCCTTAATACTTAATATCTGACTGTGTGGATCATAAACTCAAACGTGTCAGTGTTTACTGTTGTTTTACACAAACAGCTGCTCAACAACTTACAAGTCAGAGTAGTTTTCAGGACTTAAATAGTTCGTTTTTATATCTAGGATAAATAAGAGCTGCAACAGATCAATCTGCCCAACGTCTCGATCAGGGAATTCATCATTTAGACATTTTTTGGGCTTTTCTTTGCTTTAAAAGTGACAAACGATAAAGGAAATTAGAAAAATAACTAAACTACATTATTCTCCTCTTTGTTTTGTGTAAGCTCACACTGCACAGTATACTTTCAGTTTGCTGTTCTTATCTACACTGTACATCTGTTCTTCACACACTTCCGTCTCTGAGCGCTGCGGTCGATTGAGTGTATCTCTTTAAACTCAGGAAAAAAAAAAACAATCCTATCTAATAAAACCCCCAAGAGTCTGGCGGAGTGATTAACACTTTCTGACACTCGATGCTACAAACAAACCCAGTAAGAAGCCGCAGCTGCAGTTCGTGTGAGAAAACTTTTGGCGAGCGACGCCCACGCCTCGCTGTCAGGTCCCAACGCAGTGGGATCTAGTGATCTGTGCTGCGCGGAGCTGACAGCGGAGCGTGACGGGTTAATGTGCAGCAGGATAAGCTCAGGTGTTCGTCCCCGCTGACCTTCAGCTGAGCTGTCAGCAGCTTATTTCCAGCGTTTTCTCTATAAGACTTCTGCACAGACAACAACAGCCTGATGACACAGTACTGCTGAGACGGTTCACTCATTAATACACGTGCTGGGATGATAATGAGTCGATGCCATATGCAACAATCAATCCGTTTTAAATCACCTTATGGGTTAAAAGGTGCCAACATCTGCAGCTCGAAGAAAAGCAGTGAACTCTCACACAGAGACGAGCTCTGTGTGAGAGTTCACTGCTTTCCTTCTTTGTAAATAACATCTGAAGACGTCGCTCTGCTGAGAATATTTCTGAGCTTCTACTCTAAATAGCAGATCAACAAACTCAGGAGCACGTTGACCAGTAACAGTAAAATAAAGCTGCTCCCCTCACAAGAAAACAAAACTAAGACTGTGAGACTTTTCAATGCGTTCAGTAAATAAGATCAGACGCTGATTCCTGCTGCGTAATAACTCTACTAACTGCTTTTTAAGGCCAGAGGTGTTTTATTGGCAGGTTTTAGGAACTTGACGACTGACTAAACATGCAGCAAACTGTGTTGTTGTTCACCAAAGGGCCAAAGTTCAGTGGTGGAAAGTAACCAGAAACTGCAAAAACTGCCTTCTGCTACTTGATAAGCTGTCAATAAAGTAATATATCTATAAATAAATTCAGCTCCGCCTTCAGCAGCTGCAACATTTCACTGATTAACACATGAATGCATCAATAATCATAATCTGACTTCTGTAACTGTAACTTGTAGCAGAGTATTTCTGCGCTGTGGTATTACCACTTTTTTTCTCAAGTAAAAGGATGTGAACTGCAACCTTCTGTTCGACAGGAAGACGCCTGCATCCCGGGTTTGGCTCCGACACGGCTTCCTCGGGGGGAAAGCTAAACTGAGGGCGGCCACATGCTCGGCCTGAACGTTCAGCTGGTTCTACTTTCTGTTGCTGTGAACGTCTCGTCGGCAGAGCTGATCGGTTCAACTCCGTTTAATTTAAGAGATCGACACAAACGGCCGGCAGAGGACTCAGAGATGCTGCGCGATGTGTCGACAGAAAGGGGAACTAATTCAGTAACAGTGTTTGCTGGTTTCATACCAAACTATCAGCTTCTCCTTTGCTCTGCGAGTTCTACTTTTTTAACAAAAGAGAGAATTGTGACAGAACGAGAGAGAAACTAAGAGGGGGTTAGTTAAGTTCTTCTTCTTAACAGAAAATAAACCTTTATCCAGGTCAGGAACAAATAAAAGCCAGAGCTGAAACATTAAATCTCTTAAACACAACGTTAATTAACTCTATTCTTTTGTTCTACAGTCATTTTAAAGAGTTATAAATCAAACGTTTGCTGGTTTCCTGCTGATTGCCGTGAGAAAACGAGAAACATGACTTGGTTAAACTTTAGTGGTAAAGTAGACGTTAGAGCCTTTTAGTACAGGGAAGGACTGAACGTGCGGACATTTTGCCCTTTTTATCATTTATTTGTGGGTTTTTATTTGTTGTGGGTCACATAAGGTCTGATTGTTTAAAGACATTTAAAATAAAATGAAATGTTTGTGCTGTGTTTTCTCTCTCTCTTCAAATAAAAGTGTTCTTTACGTAGCTAACAGCCTGCGTTGTGATATGTAGTCCCATTTAGAGTGATGCTTATCCAGATTTGGTCATCTTGAAGAGTTTGTATTCTGATCAGGGCGATCCAAACAAATGTTGCTTTGAAAAAACATAATACTGAAAGAAGCACCTGCCAACATATTAATACAATTTTTATTCAGTTAAGAATAGTTGGGGATTAATATATATATTAATACTCTTTATAATCCATATTTCTACTGCTGAGTACCACTGACGGTTTTTCCCCCCAATAAAAAAACCCCAAGTCCTCCTCCACCCCTGATCCTGGACTCTGCAGACCTAAGGGAGCCGCCCCACAGAGGGCAGAAAAACCCCTCAACGCAACATGAAGAAGAAGAATTTCCACCAACTTTCCCCAGAGGAAAAATATTAAACTGTGGTCATCGAGATAAGGGTCAGACAGAGGAGGAGGAGGTGAAAACCAACCTCTGCAGTCTGCAGCCACAGTAACAACGCAGCACATTTACACACACAGCCAGAGAGACAAGACTATAAAAACCGGTTCACCTACACTTCCTGGTTTTGCACTCCTCTTATATTTCACGTGTATCTGCAAAGCTACTGCAGGTACGACCACGTCTGCTCTCTGCTGAGAAATCAGAGCATAAGAACTGAAACGACCTCCGAAAGCCTGAAACTGAAAAACAGCAGTTTGGTTCTCGACAGGGCGGAGGCTTTGCTTTAAACACACAGATTATTCATCCTGTTAGAATTAAAGTTTCATGTTGTGACACTGAACGTAGAGATTAACAGCAGCCCTTTGACTCAAAGTTGTCACAACCTAAATATTATTTAGAAACCTTTCCTAACTTTCACTGACCCAGTTTACCAAAACATTTCAATCCTGGAAAACTACTTTCATAAGGTCTCCAGGAGGCTTCATGTCATAAAAGTGGCCACGGCTAAAGATGGACTTTGGATCTTTTTGTGAATGATGGACACATTTCAACATCCTTTAATAAAAAAAGGTGACGCAACAAAGAGATAAAAAAGATTATAAACCGGTTTTGCTTTCAGATAGAGATCACAGTGAAACTAGAGATGAGAAACAACGAATAAAAACATAAAAAGACAAAGAAAAAACTGTAAGAAAACAAATGACACATGAAAACTAAAAAAAAAAAAAAACAATGTTCGTTTCTGCCTTTTAACATATTTTTACCAAACAACAAAAAAAAACTCTGTGCTTTAAAGATAGAAACATTAGAAACATTAAAACATTTGATAATAAATGTTAAAAGACGAGCAACACAAGAAAAATGTATCCAAGAGAAAACACACGAGGAAGCAGGAAAAAACTGATTGTGTTCATGTTGCCGAAACACACTTTAAAAATCTTAATAAAAACATCGCAGCTGCCTTATTTAAGCGTGTAGAAGTTACAGAAACAGAGAGTTTGGCTAAGCAGCAGCGTTGTGTGTTAATTTAAACTGCGTCTTCCCGCAGCTCCAAGCTAACTGCACGTTAGCTCAGTTAGCCATTTTTACTCACTTTGTCCTCCTCGGGAATTAGAGTTTCGGCGTCCTTTTTCACATCTTTCTGTCCCAAAGCGGAGTTAAAAGACACTTTAACCATCCTGGAAGAAACGTTGATAACCTCCGACCAAGAAGAATTACGATCAAAAAGCTATGATGGGGAACAAAAAAGAACAAAACAGAGAATTTGCTCCGAAGTAAAAGTAGCTGCGCTCTTTCTCCGGCCAACTCCGATCTGTTGTGATGACAACGGCAAGCTGGGCAGCGGCAGGCAGCGCCACTTCCGGTCTGGATTCAAAATAAAAGACTTGAAACAAAAGAGGAAGACAGCGCCACTTCCGGTCTTGATTCAAAATAAAAGACTTGAAACAAAAGAGGAAGACAGCGCCACTTCCGGTCTGTATTCAAAATAAAAGACTTGAAACAAAAGAGGCAGACAGCGCCACTTCCGGTCTGGATTCAAAATAAAAGACTTGAAACATAAGAGGCAGACAGCGCCACTTCCGGTCTGGATTCAAAATAAAAGACTTGAAACAAAAGAGGCAGACAGCGCCACTTCCGGTCTGGATTCAAAATAAAAGACTTGAAACAAAAGAGGCAGACAGCGCCACTTCCGGTCTGGATTCAAAATAAAAGACTTGAAACAAAAGAGGCAGACAGCGACAGACACTTCCGGCCTGGATTCAAAATAAAAGACTTGAAACAAAAGAGGCAGACAGCGCCACTTCCGGCCTGGATTCAAAATAAAAGACTTGAAACAAAAGAGGCAGACAGCGCCACTTCCGGTCTGAATTAAAAATAAAAGACTTGAAACAAAAGAGGCAGACAGCGCCACTTCCGGTCTGGATTCAAAATAAAAGACTTGAAACAAAAGAGGCAGACAGCGCCACTTCCGGTCCGGATTCAAAATAAAAGACTTGAAACAAAAGAGGAAGACAGCGCCACTTCCGGTCCGGATTCAAATAAAAGACTTGAAACAAAAGAGGAAGACAGCGCCACTTCCGGTCTGGATTCAAAATAAAAGACTTGAAACAAAAGAGGCAGACAGCGCCACTTCCGGCCTGGATTCAAAATAAAAGACTTGAAACAAAAGAGGCAGACAGCACCACTTCCGGTCTGGATTCAAAATAAAAGACTTGAAACAAAAGAGGCAGACAGCGCCACTTCCGGTCTGGATTCAAAATAAAAGACTTGAAACAAAAGAGGCAGACAGCGCCACTTCCGGTCTGGATTCAAAATAAAAGACTTGAAACAAAAGAGGCAGACAGCGCCACTTCCGGCCTGGATTCAAAATAAAAGACTTGAAACAAAAGAGGCAGACAGCGCCACTTCCGGCCTGGATTCAAAATAAAAGACTTGAAACAAAAGAGGCAGACAGCGCCACTTCCGGCCTGGATTCAAAATAAAAGACTTGAAACAAAAGAGGCAGACAGCGCCACTTCCGGTCTGAATTAAAAATAAAAGACTTGAAACAAAAGAGGAAGACAGCGCCACTTCCGGTCTGGATTCAAAATAAAAGACTTGAAACAAAAGAGGAAGACAGCGCCACTTCCGGTCTGGATTCAAAATAAAAGACTTGAAACATAAGAGGCAGACAGCGGCACTTCCGGTCTGAATTCAAAATAAAAGACTTGAAACAAAAGAGGAAGACAGCGCCACTTCCGGTCTGGATTCAAAATAAAAGACTTGAAACAAAAGAGGCAGACAGCGCCACTTCCGGTCTGGATTCAAAATAAAAGACTTGAAACAAAAGAGGCAGACAGCGCCACTTCCGGTCTGGATTCAAAATAAAAGACTTGAAACAAAAGAGGAAGACAGCGCCACTTCCGGTCTGGATTCAAAATAAAAGACTTGAAACAAAAGAGGCAGACAGCGCCACTTCCGGTCTGGATTCAAAATAAAAGACTTGAAACAAAAGAGGCAGACAGCGCCACTTCCGGTCTGGATTCAAAATAAAAGAGAATACTAAAAAGAGGTAAACCGGGAGGAACATCCGAGAATTATCACAAAGTGAGAGCACGTTTTCAACAGGATACTTCATAATGAAATGGTTTTGTGGATGATATTCTTTTTTCCAGAGAAGTATCATTTAAACTGCGGCATAAATACTACCCGGTCAGAATCTTTTCTTACTTTCAGATTTAATTAAACACCAGGGGCCGGTTGCACAAAAAACCTGAAGTTGAGATTTTCCATAAAGTCTGAGTTAAAGTTTCCTTAAAATACATTCGGTTGCACAAAACACCCTTAAATCTTCTCCTTAAGGTTTCCTTAAAATGTTCACTTAAGTGTGTGAGGTTTTCTCCTTATCTTGGTCTTATACTTAAGGAATCCCTTAAGTGTGTTAAACTGTTGCACAAAAGACCTCAGCAACCAAACTAAGGAAAATAATTTAAGGGACCTCTGGCTTTATCTTAACCGCAACACGGTTGAGTTTATGGCGATAAATGAAGAAAATTTACATATCCTGAAAAGAGTTGTCTGTATTCTCACCAGTTTGATTCCCTTTTATAACTAGTGATCTCTTTTTTGGCAACAACATACTTATTTTGGATCCCCTGGATGAACCTCTTCACAAGACTCCTTGAATTAATTTGCAAAGCGATTTCCTCCCACATTTGTTGTTTTTGTTTGCTGTTATTTGCAGATCAAATTTACTTTTTAATACGTGCTTTTTTTAAAAATGAAATTCCTCCAGCAGCATGATATTTTCCTCCTCTGACCAACTGGTTTTCTTGTCTTTTCTTTCCAACTTTGTAAAAGGTCAAGTGCTGGTGCAAACAGTCTCCATGGTAACAGTAGAATTTTACTACTGTAAATTCTCTATCAATGCAGAAAACACCTTAATGCTTTCCCTTAACTAAGGAAAAGTTTAAAGGGATTCTGTGCAACACCCTTAAGTAAATAGCTAAGGAGAAATTAAGACTTAAGTGTCATACTTCAGAAAAAAAAGTTTTTTTGTGCAGGCGGCCCCTGTTGCTGTTTTTGTAACTCTGCTTGTAAACTCTGCATTTGTTTTGGACTTTCAATAATGTGCATAATGTTTGAAATAATATGTTGAAATATTCTGGTCAGATGTTCTTGTCTTTATTCAAATTTTCTTTAATGAGTTTAATTTCTCTTTTAAAGACCTTTTTTTTGGTGTTGGGGATTTTTGATTAGGCTACTGGAACGAAGAGGATGACAACTTTTTGACATGACAACCTTAAAATTCACCTTTCATAATATTTAGAAAGCATTACATTTAAAAAAAAAATGCAAAGGCTATTTAATTATTAGAATCCTTCACTATATTTTCTTAGTTTGAGTCTGCAAGGCTCCTTTTCTCCTTTGTTTGTCTTTTTGTTTGTTTTCATATTTTCTGATTGTATGTTCTTTTGAATCATTCTTTTTATTTGGATTCAAAATAAAACAGGACAGAGAAACAAGCTCAACAAAAACAGAAAAAAACCACCGTGCACAGGTACACAAAAACACAAACATAAACAAAAACAACAACATTTGTAGCCTGCAACAACACTGACGATGAAAAGTCAGTCACAGTAGCTTTAATTCAGTAGCTGTCGGATGCAGTACTTCCGGTTTAGATTCAAAATAAAAGCATATGTTCCGAAAAATGGGACAATGACCCCTCACAATGTGATGTCATAACATATTTGTTTTCTGTACTCATGCATAATAATGTATATAATAATGTATAAGTAGCAACAACTACATAAACACGCATGACCATTAAAAAAGGATTATACGTTTTATGTGTAAAATCTAAATCTGCAAAGTGACCAGTAACAGTAGTGGAATAAATTTTAATGTTTTGTAGGCTTTGTGTTGTTGCATTTCGTTCATAAAAACTTTAAATAAAAGTTTGCTGTTACAGAATTTACTTTTGTGAATGTGACATTTTGCTGAGATAGGCTAATAAAAACATTTATGATATAATTTGTTTGTTTTTTCTAAAATGTAGACATCATAAAAGCCAAACAGCACATGTTGGGTGTGCGCTCTGTCCACACAGTTGCTCCAGGAGAATGTAAGCAAAACTCAACCAACAACCGGGAATGGCTGACGGCTGTTTTCCCCCCAGTCAGGTAAAGTAAAAAGTAAAGAAAATCCTAAATTCTGCTTAAATTGTAATTTAGTTATTTTTACACATGGGCTCTATTTTCACATAATGTTTGTGTTAAAATGACAATATGAGAGTTTCACTTTTAAAATTAAATTATGGGGGAAAATTTCCTGTTCCACGATGTTCCAATTTTCTGAGATGCACGTGCACCTGTGCAGAAATATTCAAGTAAAGTAGGTTAGAAGTATCTCTAAATTGTACTTGAACTGTAAAGTACGGTTTCAAAGGACAAATTTGTACTTCAAAAAGTACAGAACTGGAGTAAATGTTCTTAGGAGGAGGAGTTAACTGACACCAGAAGATGGCAGTAACACAACACAAAGGATTCCAGTTCTGCATAAAACCCTCAAAGAAATGTATTTATTTATTTAATTAATTTAATGTAGTCATTTTTGTACAATTATTTCTTAAATGTATTTTATTTCATTTATTTTTTACGTTAATTTTTTATGTTTTAAGTTGTTTATTTTTTTATTTATTTTATTTCATTTATTTATTTTGTGTAGTCAGTGTTTTTTTTAAGTTAGTTAATTAGTTAGTTAGTTTTACATAACATTACCAAAAGATACCTGTTTGTTATTTGAACATCGTCGATAAAGTGAATAAAACCATAAAACCCTCAAAGGAGAAGACTTTGCTGACGTCACTTTATTCAAAATAGGTAAACATACCGCAGGCAGGTGCCATTCTCTATAAAAACAAGTCTGACTGTGACTGACTTTTTATCGTCAGTGTTGTAATTCAGTAACTGTTCATGTTGTATAAACTGCACAGTACATATCATATCCACCCACCGCCGGTCTATAAAAACACCTGTACAAAAATGTTCCAGCATCCTTTGCACTCTGCTTGATTACACTGTTGTCTTGCGGACCACAAATGTTGTTTTTGTTTATGTTTGTGTTTTTGTGTACCTGTGCACGGTGGTTTGTGTCCGTTTTTGTTGAGCTTGTTTTTCTGTCCTATTTTATTTTCAATCCAAAAAAAAAGAATGGTTAAAAAGAACATACAATCAGAAAATACACTCACCTAAAGGATTATTAGGAACACCTGTTCAATTTCTCATTAATGCAATGGAAAAACATCCAGTATGCAGCAGTCCTGTGGGCGAAAATGCCTCGTTGATGCTAGAGGTCAGAGGAGAATGGGCCGACTGATTCAAGCTGATAGAAGAGCAACTTTGACTGAAATAACCACTCGTTACAACCGAGGTATGCAGCAAAGCATTTGTGAAGCCGCAACACGCACGACCTTGAGGCGGATGGGCTACAACAGCAGAAGACCCCACCGGGTACCACTCATCTCCACTACAAATAGGAAAAAGAGGCTACAATTTGCAAGAGCTCACCAAAATTGGACAGTTGAAGACTGGAAAAATGTTGCCTGGTCTGATGAGTCTCGACATTCAGATGGTAGAGTCAGAATTTGGCATAAACAGAATGAGAACATGGATCCATCATGCCTTGTTACCACTGTGCAGGCTGGTGGTGGTGGTGTAATGGTGTGGGGGATGTTTTCTTGGCACACTTTAGGCCCCTTAGTGCCAATTGGGCATGGTTTAAATGCCACGGCCTACCTGAGCATTGTTTCTGACCATGTCCATCCCTTTATGGCCACCATGTACCCATCCTCTGATGGCTACTTCCAGCAGGATAATGCACCATGTCACAAAGCTCCAATCATTTCAAACATGACAATGAGTTCACTGTACTAAAATGGCCCCCACAGTCACCAGATCTCAACCCAATAGAGCATCTTTGGGATGTGGTGGAACGGGAGCTTCGTGCCCTGGATGTGCATCCCACAAATCTCCATCAACTGCAAGATGCTATCCATCAATATGGGCCAACATTTCTAAAGAATGCTTTCAGCACCTTGTTGAATCAATGCCACGTAGAATTAAGGCAGTTCTGAAGGCGAAAGGGGGTCAAACACAGTATTAGTGTGGTGTTCCTAATAATCCTTTAGGTGAGTGTATAAAGACAAACAAAGGAGAAAAGGAGCCTTGCAGACTCAAACTAAGAAAATATAGTGAAGGATTCTAATAATTAAATAGCCTTTGCATTTTTTGAAAATGTAATACTTTCTAAATATTATGAAAGGTGAATTTTAAGGGGTCTACAATCACTAAATGTTTTTTATTCATTATAAAGTTGTCATCCTCCTCGTTCCTGTTTTCCGGTGCACTCGTCACACCAGCTGGCGGCGCTTTGCACCATTTCGCTGTTTGCAAACCGCCAATAAAATTCCATAGAAGAAGGGGAAAAACTAAAATATACTTCCTGTCTTGCGCAGAAGCGACGTGAGGTAACTATGGCGGCGGCGGCGGAGAAGTCAACTAAAGAGCAGCTGCTCTCGGTTTTGGATGATTTGGAGGTTTTATCCCGGTAAAGTCAAAAGTCCCGCACTTGTTTCCTGGTCCGACATTTGCCGAGTCGCGTCGAGCTCACATTGGCCTTTGTTTGAATCGTCTGTGTGTTTCAGGGAGCTGATAGAGATGCTGGCTCTGTCCCGGAGCCAGAAGCTGCCCCAGCAGGGAGAAGACGCTCAGGTAACAAAGACCCGTGTGGACGGAAGTGAACAGGTCTCATCCGCGACTACACAACGACCCGGGTCACCGTTTTACATCACAAACGGACTTCCGATTCGGCAGTCCCTTTTTTTCATATTCACAAACAGAACAAAGTTTTCACAAACCTGAAACTACGTTTTAAAGAAGCTTTAGCTTCTCTGGGACGCTCTAGTCCAGACCTGACAGCTGTAGGCTTACTGGTGTTTGAGTTTATTCCCTTAACTAGCGTATCAGAAGCAGACCTCAGCGTTGTCTTCATACTTCACTGCTTGTCCTGTAAATTTGAATTTAATTGCTCTTTGTATAGTATTCTTATTTTTATTTGATATAGGGTTCGCTTCTAATTATTTGTGTACCTAGTTGTAATTTCTAGAGATCAAAGCTGTGTTTAGATGTTTCTTATCTGATGTCCCTGCCTGGAATAGGGGGTCCTCCGTCTACCTGAGGCACCGGCCTCACAGAGGATCAACAGCCTGCTGTTTGTGTCACCTTCTTTGCAAAGAATAAAACACTCCCGGTTGACCAGAACAATACATCATTTATGTTTTCACGGCTGTTGCATCATGGTTTTCGTTGGAGGAGACTCTTCTGAGTGGATCAGAGGGAGTGTTGGAACCAAACCACCATGAGACTGGGACAATGGCACATACCTGGGACTAATAATGGGAGTGTTTTTTCAAAATAAAACGTATAAAAAGTGTCTGTGTGACGTCCTCAGGTCCTGGAGCTGCTGGTGCAGAGGGACCGGGAGTTTCAGGAGCTGATGGAGGTGGCTCAGCAGCAGGGGAAGGTGCACCAGGAGATGCAGCTGCTGGAGAAGGAGGTGGAGAAGAGAGACAGTGACATCCAGCAGCTCCAGAAACAGCTGAAGGAGGCCGAACACATCCTGGTGGGTGGCGCTTGTCCGATAGGTGGTTAAAATGGCCGAGCAGTTCGAGGCGTTCGCTGTTCTTTACGAGAGTAGTAGTAGTATTTATACTGAAGTCCTACAGTCCAGGCAGGTTTCGCTCCATTTCACTGCACTGCGAAGGTCAACATGAGACTTAAAACTTAGATTCAAATTAAGATAAAGTGATCGAGAGGATTGACGTGTTTTAGAAAATCAGATCCAGAAAGCAAATGTGACGTGAACCTAAATCCCTGCTGTACTCCAGAGGACTGGCAGGGAATAATGTCAAAATCCATTAGATGGATTTACTGCCACAAGAAAGCTCACAGGACAAATTAAGACCGTCAATTTAAAAGTATTTCACTGGTTCCTTCCAAAGACGAAAGAAAATATAGTTTGAACCTGGTTTTAGAAGCCAAAACTCAGACTAGTTCGTCTTTCCACACGTTGTCTCGCTCCACAGCTAAAACGAAGCCTTCAACACGGGGTGAAAAGAGGAGCTGCAGCAATGTGCAGTATGACAAAAAAATATGGTGTTTTTTGAAAATTAAACCATGTAAACTTGTTGTGTTACAACCTCTAAATAGGATTTTGAACCTGAAAATGAGCAGAATACCACCTCTTTAAGGGGACTCTCACACCTACCTCGTTCGGTCCAGACTGTAAGATGTTTCAGTTTGGTGTGAAACCTCCCTCAAACACAAATTTGGTCCGACAAAAAGAGGTAGTCTCGGTATGTTCGGTTCGTCTCTAGTGTGAAAGCAATTTTTGGATGGTTCAGACCTTTAGACCCTTCACAGGAAGTTCGGCGGTTCCTGTGTAAACCGGAAACAAATAAGACCCGTGTCCCGTGACAGCTCATCTTTTGAAGCAGACCCCCTCCTCACCTCTTTGGTCTGTCCTCAAACGGAGGTGCAGGAGGGCCGCTTGCCGTCTCCTCCTCCTTTCCACAGTGAGGACGTTCATTTGCCGGATTTGGAAAAAGCCTCGAGTTAAGTTGGTGCTGCAGGTAGTAGTGCCATAATAATAAACAACAATATAGCTGAAACGAAATGCACCTGTTCATCTCTCATTAAGTCATTCTTCTCAAAGCTCCCCGCGGAACAGTTACAAACCAACACTATAAGGAGACACGTAGCCAGCGTAGATAATGACGACGGGACGCAAGTATGTTTGACGCAGATCAGTGCAGGTTCTCTGTTGATCTAAATCGGCTCCTCCTTCTTTAAGGCGACTGCTGTTTACCAGGCGAAGGAGAAACTCAAATCCATCGACAAAGCCAGGAAAGGTGAGTTCACACACCTGTGGCTGTTCGGTGTCTGATGGCCCGTAAACTCATCTTGTGTGCGTGTTCTCTGCAGGAAGCATCTCCTCAGAGGAAATCATCAAGTACGCTCACAGAATCAGCGCCAGTAACGCCGTGTGCGCTCCTCTCAACTGGGTCCCAGGTAGGAAGCAGAACCACTGCAGCTCCCGCAGGTTCTCGTGTTTCACTTCACTGTTAACGCGCACGTTGTCCTCAGGTGACCCACGCAGACCCTACCCTACAGACCTGGAGATGCGCAGCGGCATGCTGGGTCACATGGCCAACCTGCCGACCAATGGCGTGAACGGACATCTGCCAGGCGACGCTCTGGCTGCTGGGAGGTTGCCGGGTAAGTCCGTCCAGAGGAGTTATTTATGGTTCCCGACAGCAGCACTTCCTCACGTCACTGACGAGGCAGAAACCTGCAGGAATCTTCTTCTTTCTGCTTTTACATCAGTTAATAAAACGCCGGCTTCATCTTCCAGATCAGTTTTCCTGTAAGGCGGCGTCGGCTCCAGTTTTCTTGTTACTTTCTTCGGTGGGTTTGACTTTGATGTAATTTTCAAAGTAAGAGTCCTCCACTGTGTCCATCATCAGGACACCTCAGAGGGCGTTTTCTCTTTGGGCCTTGTGCATTTCTTATTTTGTCGATTGACCTGCTTGCATTGAATGTCAGAACAGTGAACTGGGCCATAACAAGGTTTGCGAATCCCACGTCCTTTTTTCTTTTCCTGTCCCGTCATGTGATGAACAGTGAAACTGACTTCCCAAATAAATGTCAGCTGGTCTCCGCTCAGCCCAGATCTAGCTGAGCGTAGATTTAGGCTACATCCACGATCTCCGTTCACACCTGCGTACCAGAATTAATCTGTCCGTATTAAAGCCACTGAAAACACACATCATGTGGCCGTTCACGTACACCGGGCATGTGCGTGCCGGTGTAAACAGGAAGCAGATTGTCTACTCGGCAGCTGCAGGAGATTCGTCTAAAGAAGAGACTAGGGCTGGCCCGAATGTCATTATTTTTTTTTTTGAGCTTCGATAGTGGTTAAGAGTGAATAATAGAAATCCGAGCAGGTCCAGAGCAGAATCTGGGAATAGTTTAGTCTGGCGGAGAGCAGACGGGATGAGCTGCGTCTCCTGTAGCGGAACTAAATCTAATGTTTATTATACAAAATTCACTTTTAACTCATATATAATTAAATGCATTTATTATGTGTTTTTTTGTTTCCAGGCTACAGTTTACTGATTCATTTTAAAATGTACGAAATTCGACAGTTTTGATCTGTAATAAAATTAAGTAATTGTAAAATTAATAAACGCCACAACTTCCGCACTCCTGCTGTCATCTCTCAGTTTAAAGGGCTCTCACACAGCTGAGGCCTTCATTTCGTTTCCCTTTGATGTGAACTGGAGCGTTGCGTTCACTGCTGTCGGAGGAGGTCAGGCGCGCGGGGGGGGGGGACCTTCAATAATCGAATGTCATAATTAAAAATCGAACGTGTACCCAGCGAATTTGAATGTTCGTGTCCAGCCCTACAAGAGACGAATGAAGAGCAGCGATGGTGAAGAACCACAGCAGTGTTATTTACACAGTACAGAATACTTTTATAAAAACACCAAAACTAAGAGTTTCTCAGCAGCATCGTGTTTCTGCTTTGCGTGACTGATAAGAGCCAATCAGGAAGCCAAACGTGAGCGTCTGCATCGTTTTCACCTGTCGGGCACTGAACACGCTTCCTCGGAGTTTAAAACCAAAACGGGGTTTTCAGACCTCAACGTTTCAGTCTGGACGGGAAACGCAGCAGAAGGTCTGAGTTTTAAAATGAAAACGGCGCAGTGTGGGCGGAGCCTTAACCTCCCGTGTCTCCTCTGACTTCTCAGACGTGCTGACGCCTCACTACCCCTGGCAGTCCTCGGACGTCTCGGTGGGGATGCTGCCTCCTCACCACGGCAACGACTTCGGCCTGGAGCCCCCGGGTCACAACAAAGAGAACGAGGACGACGTGGAGGCCATGTCGACCGACTCCTCCAGCAGCAGCAGCGACTCTGACTGAACGACTGTGTGTGTGTGTGTGTGTGTGTGTGTGGTCATCGCTGAGCAACACTGATCAGGTATCATCAGTCCAAACTCACACCTGTGGCGGGACTGTTGTTTTTTTCCTTTTACTCCAGATCCCAGTCTACATGGTTGTTTTAAAGGCAAGATGTTGTGAGCGTGCAGCAGAAGTTCAGGAGTCCATCTGTCGTGGTATCTGTCTCTGTTAGTCAGTAATGGAGGAGCTCACGGAAAGAGATCGATGTAAAGATTAATAGAGAGGCTCCAGTCTGTCCAGAAACCATCAGTTGTTACGTCAGCTGAGGTCTTCAGTTCCCCCTCTTATCCTTTATTAGAACCTTTTTATGGTTTTTCAGCTTCTAAAGGAGGGGCGTGGCAGAGAAAGTTGGAGAACCGCTGATTTAACAGCTTGAATTTGTCGCGGTTGGGGAAAATTTAAGCTTAAAGAAACCGGAGCTTTTGTTGCGTTCCAGTTTTAACTTTTAAATTTAAATGACAAATTTAAAACAAGTAAAAACGTAACAAAGACGAGACGCCACTGTCGACTGGAGCTTAAAGAAATCTGTGTTGCTCTCTGATGACACATGTTGGAAAGTTTGTGTGTTAATGATTATTGTCAGCTGGTGTGAGTGATTATACAACAATATGGACACATGCTGTTTTACCTCTGTAGATACCCTTGTACATACTCAGCCTTGTAAATAAATACTGTTTGAATAGAACTTGTGTGTTTGCCTCTTTGCTTTAGAAAGAAGATCATCTCATAACATCCTTTTATAAAGTTACATCTGCAGGTCATTCAGAGAAAAGCAGCTTATTGTTGAGTTGCTTTCCTTGCGTCAGTTTCAGTGTTTAAATTAGTAGGTCAAAGTGTTTTATGCAGCGTTGTCTGGTTATCACGCTCACTCCAACTATATATTAAATAACCTTTTATTTATGGAGCACTTTTCAAAATCCACGTTACAAAGTGCTTTCACAGGTGCTAAGGTTATAAAACATAAGATACACGATAAAGGCAAGAAAATGCAATTTAAAATACAGTTAAAAGAAAAGACAACCTCAACAAAAAAGACACGTAACAGGTAGAGAGGCCATGAAGAGCTTTAAAAGGAATCAATAAGGTGTTAAAGTCTATTCTGAAACGTCCTGGGAGCCGCTCTAATGAAGCTAAAACAGGGTGATGTGGTCATATTTTCTTTGTTCTGGTCAAAATATGGCACTCAAAGTGTTTGAAAAAACATCCTGACAAACACGTAAATCACAAAAAAAAAGCCTTTTCTGCATCTACAAATATTAGTTGAACCCCTTTAACTGGATTAACACACCAATCATTCCAGTTATGATAATATCTATTTAGGTGAAAGGTCACAAGGAGGCTATCTGACACTGCCGCCTTCAGGAGCTGTTCGTAAAACTCCAAACATCGACGATGGTCATTAAGTCTCGAGTGTATTTTGTTTAAACAGAGACAGCAAAGGCATGCCAACTTTTTTATTATAGTTTTGGTTTAGTTTTTGCTCTGAAGTCATGCGATGGAGCTAATTTGAACTCTGATGATGTTATGAAGACGAGAAGACCGGCTCATCAGGCGCGTAGCTGATATTATAAGTAATTAATTTGCCAGCAACCTTCTGGTAACAACTCTTTCATCTTCGTGTTCAACTTCACATTTCAGTAACAAACTTATGCCAGTTTAAAATAAGGACATGGTTTTCACGTGTTACAGGGAGGAAGAAGAAGTGTTGTGTGTTTGTGTTTTCTGAGCTTCAGGGTTTATTTTCACTTTTGTTATTGTTGTTGTTTAGTTGTTCTTTCCACATCTGTGTTCCTCTTTTTTGTTAATAATTGATGTAAATTTTGAATTGACTTTGGGTATGACAAAGTGCACGTGAAGAGAGTAATTTGGAAAGCAGGTAGATTATTTATAATCATTTGAGTTGTGGACATGGGGGTGAGATTAAATATAATTCATCTGCAGTTGTTCACATTGTATGGTGAAAAACGCTAGTTTAAGGGGTATTACCTAATTTCATTGTCCTACATGCGCTAATGCAAATGTATATTGAACCGAGTGAGTTCATTTTTCTAGAGCCGATGCCGCCTAAACGATGTTAGCACTAAGCTGTGTCACTGTCGCATTGAATAAAGTACTACTCCTTTTTGAATATGTAAACAAATCAACAAGTGTTTAAGAAAAACACCTTGGCTAAAATTATTATTAATTTATTTGTTCATTAGAATCAGAATCAGATTGAGGTTTCTTGCCGGGGTCATTTTTACATACGGGGAATTTGCCTTGGTAAATATTGGCGGTACACATACACATAAATATAGAAATATGAATATAGAGAAAGTAAAGAGATAAAAAAATGTACAAGTATACAAAATTATACAATAATGCTTTAACACTACTACAAAAAAATGCTAAAAAACAAGATAATCAACAAGGAATGTGCAAAAAAAATCACTTGTATTGTCTTGTTATTTAATAAAATGTGATTTGTTAAAATTATTTTATCTTGTCTGATGGTTCTGTTTTACACTTATTCAAAATAAACACCTAAATAAAAATAAATAAATAACCTAATCGTTTTCCAGCCATGTTTACTGCGCCACTTTGAAACGATTGTCTAATTTCCGACAGCGTCTGAAGGCAGCACCGTTGAAAGACGACTTTGCAGCTCGATACGCATGCGCAGTCAATTCTCCGCTCTAAAGGGAGACATGGCGGCGTCCCTGATCTGCGGCCGTTTGACGGCGAGCCTGAGAACTTCAGGGGCGAAGAACTCGGTCAGCTCCGCGTCCAAGGTGAGTGTTAGCGCGCCCACATTAAAGCGAAGCTCTCCGGCTTTCTGAGCAGCTGCCCGTGACACCGCTGCGCCGTCTCTGAAGATTACGGCCCCCCCTCAAACAACGGACAGGGTCAAACTTGACATTAGCACTAACATGCTAACTAGCGCGGAGCTAGCGGATTAGCGTGGCTGTCACTGCCGCTGAGATGATGAAGCAGCCAGAATAAACACACGCATAACTACTAATCCCCGCTCTACCGCATCTGTGTGTCGTTTTAAACCCTGTCCTGTGGAGGTGAATGCGCTCAGTGACCTCCAGCCGCTGAACGTCAGCCCGCAGCGGAGGAGACAGAGAGCCGCAGGAGCTCCGGGCGATGTCCCGCTGCGGGTGCAGTCATCTCGGCCTCGGTGAGCACAAACGAGGACTTTCGCTGCCGAGAAAGACCGTCGCCACCACACAGCACGATAACCAACCAACGTGTCGGCCCACCGTGGTATCCGGAAAATGCGTTGAGTAGTACTTCTGTCACAAACCTGCATCTGTTGCTGTTGCACTCCAGTAGTCTCAGGAAGGTGTTGTCCTGAGGAGGGATGCCAGAAATGTAGCAGTGGATAAAAACAAAACAACAGATCCCATCATGTACATCAACACACTCCTTTAAATAAAAACATTTGAGCAGCTGTTAAAGCTGGGAGAGGATGTCCAGGACAGATCACAGGTGGTTTGGTGTTGATAAATGAGCAAGATGTTAATTACAAGCTTGCACTGTGCATAATTAATTATTTAATTTTCTGTACAATCTCTCAGGTGTGAAACATTTAAGGGTGGTGACTATCTATACAGGCAGTTGTCTGATTTTAAAACTTAAGTTATGGATGGATGAAATGGATCGTGTTGCCCTTTTCAGACGGTCCCTCACTCCTCCTACAGTAACAGGAGCGTTGGACAGACATTCAGTTCTCAGAGCTGCAAAACTGCATCGTCATCTGTGGTGGTGATTTTTTCAGGTGATCAAACTGTGAATCGTCTGCATTAATCAGCTCTCCAACAGATCCCAGAACTGGGAGAGATCGAGGCTTTGACACGGAGCTGTTGAAGGTAAAAGCCACGAAAACTACCTTCACCCCGGTGTCCAAACATAGCGATCCCCGGTACCTTCAGTAACTAGCAAAATGAGTATTGATAAAGTTAAAGCTGAAATCATCAGTCGATTGATCAGCTACTGTGAAAATTGATTGTCATTTTTTAAGCTTCACAAAAAGTGAACTTTACACTTTTCTGTCATATCTGATGGGGAACTGAGTCTCTGTGTTGGTTTTGGACTGTGTGAATTCATCACTTCGGGCTGGGAGAACCTTTAACAGGCATTTTCACTGTTTTCTGACATTTAAGAGACTGAAGGATTAATCGCGAGTAATTGGCCTGTTAGTGTTAGAGTGCAGAGGATCGAAACATTTGAGGAAGGTGGATCCTGAAAGCTTCGTTCTGACCGTGCGTTTGTCTGCGAGACGTCAGCAGCAGCAGAGGGGCCTCCTCTGCAGGATAATCATTTAAATATCAAGTGTATTATTTCACGTCCGCATTTGAGTCGTACTCAAAACTTTTACTTTGCTTCCTCCTCGAGTGTGAGAACACCCTGGCGTCTAGATATAGATCTGATGTGGATGTCGTATCAAAACCAAACCTGTTCCACATTTGTTTTAGCTCAATGCTGGATTTCTTGTAATCTCATAAATCAGATAAAAACATCCGTCCAGTTTTCCATCGCATGGGTGTAGAAAACACACATCATATATTACAAAGTCTGGAGAAAAGGTGTGTTTATAAATCAGCTTCCAGACCAAGACATTTAAAAAAAACAGCAGCTTTAGGGAATATTTATAACGACGCACGAAGAAGTGATGTTGATGGAAGCGCTGGTCCAGTTTCAGCTTTTCAGAATCAATGATTAGATTTGATTATTAATGAATCCCCAGTTCAAACCCCCGTCTGGGATCTTATCTATTTTAGTCCTAACACGATGTCTGAGCAGTGACAGTACAAAGAGTGCAAACAGCTGCGTGTTGGAGCTAAAAGTGTGATTTTAAATCCGACTCCGTGTCGGAAAACCCGCCGTATTGATCGCAGCGATGCAGCAGTTTGTTTAACAGCATCGTCACGCAGCTGTCGATGTGTCTGATGTCCAGCTGATGTCCAGCTGATTCACTTTGAGTTGAGCAACATGTTGGTTTCATATCCTTTTATCAAGTTTCCAGTGTTGCTCGGGTTTTCCTGCTTTCTGCAAACACTTCTCTTCTCGAGAAGGAACTCGGGAGGCTTTAGTTTTTTTTTTTCAAGTCTCTTCAGTGTCATGAATCTCCACCTGTTGCTTTGCTTCTCTCCTCACTGTGCAGGGTGTGTTAATGAAAGATGTATTAGGATTCTGATAATGATATTTCAGGTGGTCAATAAGTGATTTATATCGTCTCTTTCTTTGTCATTTGAAAATGTAATTCTGTTGGTGAAATCAAATGTTTTGATGTGGTATCAGCAGCAGCCATTCAGTTCATACACTGGCTTTATTGGCATGACGTTTATTTCAGACATGCTGCCAAAGCAGAAAGTCACATAAAAAAACGCACAACAAATAATAAGCAATAATATGAAATGAGAAAAAAGCAAAGACCTAAATATGTCTTAGGTTGAAAATAGGTTTTGCTTTTTGACATGTAATAAGTTATTCTCCTGTTATTTAAATGGCAAACAATAATAATAATAATTGTGATAATATCACATGTCATGCTACACAAACCATTCTTTATTTTCTATATTCGTTTTAGTTTCCACATTCAGTGTATTCACGTTCAGTCGTTACCTTTCCACATAGCAGTTTTCATTGTTAGTGGTGTGGTAGAGCTGAAATCTGCAGGATTATAACTTTAATATTTGAACATAATAATAATAAAGAAAAAATAAGGATAAATAAATCAAGCTGTCCTCTAAGACATGAGATCTCCCATCAGGTCCAGTGGATCCAGTTAAACTTAATTAATTGTTAGTTACACATCAGTTGGAAGTTCAGTGTTTTTGTAAAAATAGAAAGTTCTAGCGAGAAACCCTTTTCCTTCCACAGAGTAACCGAACTGCACCCCCCTCTTTCTCCTCCTCCAGGTTCTCGCCGGTTCTGCTGGTCTGTTTGGAGGCCATGTGTCCCTGCTGCAGCCCCCCCACCTGCAGCAGCAGCAGAGGAACCTCTCCCTGCACGAGTACATGAGCATCGGGCTGCTGAAAGAGGCCGGCATCTCTGTGCCACACGGCCTGGTGGCCAGCTCCTCGGACGAGGCCTACTCTGTGGCCAAGCAGATCGGTAAGCCTCCCTGAGCCCGGAGGGGGCGCCGAGAGCCGATCAATATCCGGATCCAACGTGTTTACATCTACAGATTATCAGAAGAAAGGTCCAGATATGTAGACGGTGCGCAGAGCATCATATTTTAGGTGGTAGTTTCACAACTTTAAAGAAACAGTGGGTGAAACTTAATAAGTTTAAAACTGCTGACTTTTTTCACACGCTACAGTTTGTCAGAGCCGCTGAAGTTAACGTGTGTGGATTTGTGGTGAGATTTCTGCCTGATCACAAGTGTGTGTGAGTGTGTGTCGGTTAGTTTTGGTTTCACATCCTAACATGCAGCCCCAAACTGTGTCGGTCAAACAGTCTGTCAGGGGATACTTTTTTTTTAAAAGCGTGAATATTCGTAGCTTCAATCCGAGCAGGTCCAGAGAAGAATCTGGGAATAGTTTAGCTGGGCGAGGGTCCAGGTGGAGAGCAGACGGGATGAGCGGTAGTGGAACTAAATCTAACACGTTGTTGTGCAAAATTCACTTTTAACTTTTATTATAGCGACTAAATGCTCTTCTCCTACAATCGGCCTAATATAGACTAATTATTTAAATGCGTTCATTGTGTTTGTTTGTTTCCAGCCTACAGTTTACTGATTGATTTTAAAATGTCGGAAATTTGACTGTTTTGATCTGTAATGAAATTAAGCAATTGTAAAATTAATAAACGCCATAACTTCCGCACTACTGCTGTCATCTCTCAGTTTTAAAGGGCTCTCACACAGCTTCATTTTATTTTACATTACTTTGATGTGAACTGGAGCCCTGCGTTCACTGCTGTCGGTGGAATCTCAAAATTGAAAATCGAATGTGTTCCCAACGGTCAAATATTCTGGTCCAGCCCTAGAAACTACCAACAGATCTGAGAGCAGCACTGATTTAGATCCTGGTAAATTTAGAGTTGTCACCTGACTTTTACCTGACTTGTTATGAGAATCAGAAGGAGCTTTATTGCCAGGTAGTGTTTTACACATGCGAGGACGTTGCTTTGGTGCTAAGGGGCTACAGGGAGACAAACATACAGCTGACATAAATAAATGTATAAATATGGAATAGACAATGCAAGTTATATAAGAATAATAAAAAGATTAGAGAAAAATAATTCAACTATTGGCAGAGAAAGAACAACGTGGCAGATATTTACACGAGCATTACTCCGGGTTTGTGTTGTGCAGACGTGTTGCAACGGGAGAGAGTATTATTTACATAAATATATATAATATTTACATGTGCAGAGACATTGGTGCAGAAAACATCCCCACAATGCAGGAAATTAACTGTTTGATGCTGAAAATGTTCATATAATTCAGCTTGATTTCTTAATAATAGTGTTTTAAAATCTATCAGGCTTAGAGCTAATCTAGGTCACCCTACATGGCGATGACCTGATACCATCTCACAAATAACATGTCCGCTAAAACGTTGATAAGCAATACTTTGGTCCGCCATGTTTCGGCGTAAGAACGTCACCTCAACATTTTTGCAGACTTTCCAAGTTGTTTTTCGGGCTTGAGGAGGCGTTCAAGTGAATCTTCCCAGTCGGGTGACTGTCCAGTTGTTCCCATTCGGAGCCTTTCCTGACATCTTCTGACCTTTTGTGTGTGCGGCGGTTTAAAATACCTTTTAACACTCGCTGGGTCTAAACATAGCAGTGAAGCAGGAGGAGGAGGCTATCAGCTGACGCTCGACTCCCAGGAGCAGTAAGAAGTTGAGATCAACATGTGCCCTGTTTTATTGCTCATTTTTAAGTGACGTATATCCAGCGTCACAGACACAATCTGAAGGATCACTCACTGGTTCACTTTTCTCAGCTCAGACGGCACAGATGGGAAAAAAAAAAAAAAAACCACCACAATACAGCAGAGCAGCCGTAGCCCTTTGATTAAAGAAACGCCGTCTGTCCATCGTCACATCATGGCTCAGCACAGTTATTTAAAAAAAACTTTAACAGCTAACATTGCAAAATATTGTGCAAACGGGCAAAGACCGGTCAGGTGGTTTGTGGGAAATGGAGTTGGTTGTTTTATAATACAATTTAATATATCATATAATCTAGAATGAACTCCTTTTGTTGTTCTGTTGTGTCTCTGTGGTTTGTGCGAAGCGTCCTTGGGTCCCTTGAAAGGCGCTACAAAGATCTAAGTTATTATTATTATTGGTGATGGAGACGTGCTCGTCCAGGACGGGCCAGGCCACGGCGCCGGACTTGATCAGCTTCGAGTTCATCCACAGTTTGGTTCTGTATGAAGTCACGTTTGTTCACGCGAGATTCTGTGAGATCCCCAGAACCGCCACTCTGAAACTGTTTAGTGTAAACGCAGAGTGTGTGTGTGTGTGTGTGTGTGCGCACTTAAGATTTAAAATACAGCTCTGGAAAAAATTAAGAGACCGCTGCAAAATAATCAGTTTCTCTGGTTTTAATTTTTATAGGTATGTGTTTGATTAAAATAACCATTTTTGTTTTATTCTACAAACATTCTGACCACATTTCTTCCAAATAAAAATGTCATTTAGATTGATTTATTTTAAGAAAATCGTTTTCAGACATCAATAAATGCACAGAAAACAAGATCACTTTAATTCTTAAAACGAAACAATACTAATATTTTAACTTAGGAAGAGTTTAGTGGAATAACCCTGATTTTTCCTTACAGCTTTCATGCGTCTTGGCGTGCTCTCCACCAGTCCTTCACACTGCTGTTGGGTGACGTTCGGCCACTCCTGGCGCAAAAATTCCTGCAGCTCAGCTTTGTTGGATGGCTTGTGACCTTCCATCTTCCTCTTGAACAAATTCCAGAGGTTTTCAATGGGGGTCAGGTCTGGAGATTGGTCTGGCTATAACAAGGTCTTGATCTGGTGGTCCTCCATGCCACATCTTGACTGACCTGGCTGTGCGGCATGGAGCGTTGTGCTGCTGCAAAAACTGACCTTCAGAGTTGGGAAACATTGTCAGAGCAGAAGGAATCAGGTTTTCTTCCAGGATAACCTTGTGCATTGCTTGATTCGTTCATACTTCACATTTATTATTCCAGCCTTGCTGAAACACCCCCAAATTTACCAGTGGGTGCCAGTCTGACCTGAGCTAGTGGGACTTTTGAGGTACCACTAGCTCTGTTCCCGCTGGTCTTATTGCAAGACGATAGTGGTGACTCCAAAAGTGGTTTTTATACTTTTCCTCGTTAAAAAAGATTTCGCTCAGGTGATTTACTTAATCAAGTGATTTAAAACAAATATGGAGTGGTCTCTTAAATTTTTCCAGAGCTGCATAAAAACTGGTTTAATTATGTTACGTTGCGGTGTGTTTTTAAAACCCTCTGATGTGCAGCAGGCTCAACGAACTACGGCGTGCCTGGTTAAACTGAAATAGATGAACCCCGTCTCTACCACCAAATTCTAACTGACAAAATATTTAGTGGTGTCTTAAGTTATTTAGCGTCTTCAGGAGAGGGAGGGAGAGTGTGTAAAGCAGAAATAAACACGTCCACGCCGCCGTACTGGTCTGAATAGAGCCTTGGATTACAATCTTAAATTTCCCACCTCTTAATCAGTTTGTTGTCATAGTGTTTTATTGACGGACTGATGTGTGTGTCAGGTTCAAAGGACCTGGTGGTGAAAGCTCAGGTGCTGGCTGGTGGAAGAGGAAAGGGGACGTTCGAGGGCGGATTGAAGGGAGGCGTGAAGATCGTCTACTCGTAAGTAAATCCGTCTTCTGTCATCAAACAGCCTCTTAGCTTCCGGTTCCAGCTAATGTCTTGATCCCGTTTGAGTTGAGCCCCGAACGTCACACAAGATGTTTGTCAGTTTAAAAGATGATTCAAGTCAAGAAAGTCGCAGTGTTGACGCAGCTGATGGTTTGCAATGTAAAAAGGGATTTTTACTAAATAGGAGAAGTTGTTGTTGTTCAGGAGAAATGTATTTAAATGCAATAGTTACAGAATGCTTGAGAGCACTGGGGAGTTTCCCTTTATATAAATAAAGACATTTCCACCATCAGTTGATGCAGAAAAGGCAGAAATCTGTGCACAAGTTTTGAAGGAAATTAAGTGTTTATTGGTCAGTTTTCACAGGGAGGTTCCCAGACCCCCCTCTTAATAATTGTCCCCTCCGGTGTTCAAATAAAACCTGTGCTCTTGTATTTATACAAAACATTTACCCCATAAGTTCCCAAACTTTCCCAAACACCAGGTTAGGTTTTGTCTCCTAATTTAGGCTGTGACGTCTGGAGGATGGTCCCACTTTTTCTTTATTGACTTTGGCTTTTCATGAGTTTGGCTGCAGAACATTTTACACACTTCAGTGGGTAAGATCACAGACGGTTTAGGTTAAGGCACATGAAATGGGCTGGGATGGCGCCAATATAAAATCTCGCCTCCCAACGGTGGCAGGGCCGGCCCCGACGGCCAGTAAACGTGACGTCTCGTCTTCCCCTCCAGGCCAGAGGAGGCCCGTGATATCTCATCCCAGATGATTGGTCGAAAGCTGTACACCAAGCAGACTGGGGAGGCGGGGCGTATCTGCAACCAGGTGTTCATCTGCGAGCGCAGGTACCCGCGCAGAGAGTACTACTTCGCCATCACCATGGAGAGGTCCTACCAGGTGAGGGAACACACACGTTTACAGGCTGATGGGCCCCAAGCTGGAGGAGGAGGAGCAGGAGGAGAAAGACTGTCAGCAGCCGTTTCCTTTTCAATAACATGCATCTCCTGCAAAGCAACGCTGCAAACCAGTGTGAACTGCTCTATTAATCATGCTCAGATTTTAGCTGGTTGTGTTGAATCACACCACTAGATGGCAGCACAGGACTAAAGATGGTGACGACAGGGGAAACTCTAACCAGGGGCCGGTTTCGCAAAGATAGACTTTATGACAATGGCTTAGCTATAGTAGATAGTCAGACCTCAGATAAACATCTAAATCAGACCGTTGCACAAAGCACTGAAGACCCTGACTAAGACGTACAGTAAAACCAGAGGACAAAAAACAAATATTTAAGAGGAAATAATCTGAAACGGGAGCAGTCAGTAGTTCAGTTAGTTTCTTGGGTAAACAAAACTCATTGTTGTATATTTCCAGTAGGTTACTCTTCCCTTCTCATAGCTCTCTCCATAATATCAGCAGCAAAACATAAACTATGTTTGCCCTATTTTTTTTATTTTGTTTGTTTTGGCTGTAATGTATCTGGCGGTTACCATGGTAACCTAAGTTATCCTGGGGGTAAGGTGTCTTTTTATTTTTGTGAAACAGTAAGTCAGAAACTTGCATTAGACTCGTCTGTGAGCACATTCTAGACTGATCGAACACTGTAGACTAAAGGTCTGAAATGATTTGTGAAACCGGGCCCAGCCCTAAGAAGACGAGCTAACAAGCTCTTTCTGTAGCGAGTTAGTATACACTGTGTTTTTTGGGTTAGTTTGCCTGTTGACGTCATCTTAAAGTTAATACAGTCTCAGCTCGTGGTTCATCTGTCGGGCTGTTCTGTTTCCCTCTCAGCGCTCTGATAAAAAGCCAGTGAACGCGTCCTGACAGACAGACACAGAGTTCCTACACAGGCTGGGAAACACTGGAAATATATATATTTTAAAAGTAGAGCTGAAATAATTAGTCGATTGACAAACTTCATCTCGTTCCGGCTCTCGAAATATGCTGCTTTTCTTTGTTTTATTTGATAGTAAATTTTGGGTTTTAAGAAACTGCAGTTTGTATTTTTCTTTATTTTTTGTCGTTTTATAGACGATCAGTTAATTGAAATAATTTGTTACAACTTTATTAAGTTTTGGTTCGTGGAAGACAACACTTTTTGGGTTTAACTCTCCCATTTTCTGACTTTAAATCTGCATTTAAATTATTCTTCAGGGTTGGCAGGACGAGACGTGTTTAACTCTTCACCCTCTCGTGTCCCGCAGGGCCCCGTGCTGATTGGCAGCTCGCAGGGGGGCGTGAACATCGAAGACGTTGCAGCGGAGAATCCAGAAGCCATTGTGAAGGAGCCCATCGACATTGTGGAGGGCATTAAGATGGAGCAGGCTGTCAAGGTACGATCAACAGTAAAATCAAAACCAATCAAAAGCCTGTTTGTTTGTTTTTAGATCCTAAAGGAAGATATTATTTTCACTCATCAGAAATTTATTTCCTCAGTCTTCCCAAAGTGACGGCATGTTTTCTGAGAGAGAGTGAAAACGACGCCCCCGTGTTTAACAGAACGCTTTGTGTTGCCGGCAGGTCGCTCAGAAGATGGGCTTCCCGCCGGCGCTGGTGAACGAGGCGGCGGAGAACATGATCAAACTGTACAATCTGTTCATCAAGTACGACGCCTCCATGGTCGAGATCAACCCCATGGTAGAGGACTCCTCCGGCATCGGTAACACGCGAAGGCTTTTCATGGGATTTGTCGACAGTTAGAGGGGAAAAAAAGAAAACACAAGTTGAGTGTTGAACAGTGACGAATCAGAGCTCCTTAAAGACGAGATCAGTGACACTCAGGTCAGCCTGATGAGAAGCCAAACGCAGCTTTAATGTCATTTAATTTTCAGAATTAGACAGTAATAATAATAATAAGGTAAAAACTGTTGTTCTCTCTCTTCATATTGCAAAATAACATTTTTAACTTAATGAGTGTAAATATTTTATATTAAAAGTTTTGAAAATCCATTAATTAGTCCTATTGGTTTCACCGTCATTTTTTTTATGACTGTCCAAAAGAAGCATTTTTATATTTTTTCAGACGTTTCATTGACTAAACAATGAATTGATTAATAAACAAAATATCGGGCGGATTGATAGATTATGAAAATATTGATTTAGGTGCAGCAAAGGTATCGAACCTTGTGCAGTTCTATGGTCCATTAAAACAATGGACGCTCTTCCTGGAGTTAAAAGAAACTGAAATCTGTCGTCGCTGCACAGAAAGACAGAAAGCTGCAGGCGTCAGCTGGTAGTTCTTAATGCCAAAATCTCGTTTGTGTCTCCAGTGATGTGCATGGACGCCAAGATCAACTTTGACTCCAACGCAGTGTACCGCCAGAAGAGGGTGTTCGACATGCGGGACTGGACCCAGGAGGACCCCCGGGACCAGCAGGCCGCCAAGGCCGACCTCAACTACATCGGCCTGGATGGAACCATCGGCTGTCTGGGTCAGTGCGCGTCAAGTGTCACAGAGCAAGACGCCGTAATGTAGAAAAAGATTAGCTCGAGTTGAAGAGCGTTGAGAGACTTGTTTCACATTTAGTCTCTGACTTTGTTCTTTTTTTCTCTCTAGTAAACGGCGCCGGTCTGGCCATGGCCACCATGGACATCATCAAGCTCCACGGCGGCACACCGGCCAACTTCCTGGATGTAGGAGGAGGAGCCACAGCTCATCAGGTGACCGAGGCCTTCAAGCTCATCACCTCTGACAGGAAGGTAAGAAAGCGCCTGCGGCTGAAACTCTTCAGGCTGTTCCTCTAATCGCTCAGCATTACCTCTGAGGTAACGTGGCGGTGTTGTTGTGTGTTGTGGCGCCATGGATCAGGTTCAGGCCATCCTGGTCAACATCTTCGGAGGCATCATGAGGTGTGATGTCATCGCCCAGGGCATCATCATGGCGGTGAGAGACCTGGACCTGAAGATCCCCATCGTAGTGCGGTTACAAGGTAGAACACGTCCTTATAAACCTCAGACATGTAATGATTGATCCAGACGGTCCCGGAAGAAAGTCTGGTTTCAAAAACACGTGTTCCTGCAGTGAATTCTCCAGATTATCACATTGCTGTACGAATTACAAACTCAGAGAATTCATTTTAGACAGATTTGAAGCTCTGTTCAAGTTCTGTTCAAGAGGAGTCGTGCGCTCTAAGGATCAGTATCGAGGCAGAGCATATTTTAATAGATCGGTATGGTGGGGCGGCGGTATGGTGGGGCGGCTTTCCCCAAAGCTTTGTCTGAGAGGAGGCCCTCAGTGATTTGGTCCATTGACTCTGTTCTGACACTTAGATCTGCAAAATACACAGATTCCATAAACGCCATAGTTTGTAACAACGAAGAAGAAGAAACTCAGCACAGTGGAACACCAGTGTTTCCCATGGCGGCCCACCGCAGTCTAATTTGTTCCGCCATAGTTTCAACATCTCATAATAAGAGAACAGACCTCTAACGAGCTCGCACGCTCACGCACTTTGGCATCCGACTCGAGACAATCACTTTTCTTTTTTTTAGGTAATTACGGTAATGTTAACAGGCTGTTTCTGTCACTCGTCTGTGAGAAGGCTTTTAAGCTAGCCGCACCTGAATTTGGAGTGCACACGTCTTCATGTTACGCCGTACGAGAACCACATATAACATTACTTAATCTTAATCTTAAACTGGGGCATGCCACCGGACCCCCTGACGAGAACTGCAGAGCTTAGAGCTACAACAGCTCTAACCTTCTTTCATCGGCTCTCAGAATCGCTGCCTTTAAATTCAGATCCCACAGATGTTAGATTCTGATATTTCGTGAGCACAGCTGGAAACTAGGGTCCGATTATTGTTGCTTCAGGCTTAAGTTACCGAAACTCCATGATTATTCTCAGTAACATCCACACAGATCACCATCCAAAAAACGCCTGCAGCTGCATGTTAAAGGCATCAAATTAAGTCCTATGCATATTCAGCTGCACGCTGTGGAGTTAAGTGATGCAGTTGGATGCTTTGGAAAATACAGACCGTGCAAAGTGTTGGGAAATGCTGAGGCTGCTTCTGTTCTGTGTGGATGTTTTTACTGTGAAATCTTAGATGTTTTCTTTTTGTATTTTAAGGGACGAGAGTGGACGACGCCAAAGCTCTGATCGCTGCCAGCCCACTGAAAATCCTGGCCTGTGACGACCTGGACGAAGCTGCTAAAATGGTGCGTACACAGACGGAGTCATCACGTTCACCGCTTTCTGAATTTAATGAACTCGACCATAAACACTTGAGCAAACAGCAGCATGAGCTGTGGGCAGGGAGATGATCGCATTAATTAACGCCGACAATTATTTTATGGCACGTTAACGCAGTTTTTATTATTATTATTTTGAAAGCCCGTTGCTCACTGGCTCTGAATACACATCCAGTCAAACCACGGGTCACGGCTTCGGCAGACGACGCTGGATGCAGCGTGCGGGAGAAGTAGATCAACAACAGCAAGACAAGCGATCAAACGCCAAAGTGAAGTGGAGAGCCCGCACGCTGGTTAGTGTTGGGTCAGGTGATCAGACAGGGAGACGAGAATGGAGAGTAACCATGGCAACGGCTTCTGTGCGCTACACAGCTGTAGCCTATTTAACTTAAGTTAAAATTTTACATAACTTTACCTGACAGGCTTTTGTCTGCTTTTTTGTGGGGACGCTCTGCCGTGCGAATTCCCTCCTGTTGATGTCCTGACAACTATTCAGATTCTGGAAACTCCCAAACAGCGAGGATCAGTCTTGCTTCCAACTATTTGTGCTGCGCGTCGCGAACAAAGTTTAAGACAATTCAGCTTCGGCGGGCGGGCGGGCGGGCGGGTGGGCGTGTGCGTGAGGCGACCACTTTGCCTCCCTCTAACGGGGACACTTGCTGCTGAACATAAACTGTTTCTGCTGCTCCCTGAAAACAGATTTCTATCTGTTCACCTGCTGCTGAGAAGGAGCCTGTCATGATGTTCTGATCGTGGCTCTGGATAAAAGTTAACGCCCTGGCAGCGGCAAACAGCTTTGGTTTAAAGTTTGATTTGATTACTTTAATGTTTAAGTTGAGATTTAACAGAAATATTTTATTGCTGCTGTGTAAAGGGAACACTGCTGGGAAAAAAGCTCCTTATTTGTTTAAAGTGTTTGCAAACAACATGTTATTACACTTTTGTGTTTACAGCAGTACATTTAAATTAAAAATGCTCAATGCACTACTTTAGAATTCATTATTCAACAATGCGATTAATCTCGATTTACATACTTGTAAGTTTTGTAGATGGTTTTTGAACGGCTGCTGGACAGTTTTTGCCTCTTTATTTATTTATTACCAAATGTTGTTGATAAAAAATCTATCAGGTGAAACGTGTCACGGTGTTGGTAAAAAGACCCAGAAATAAAACCGAAGTAATGTTTTATTGTAGCTGAGACTGCAGGAATGAAGAGAAGTTCTCTACTCTCACAGATTCAGGTTTAGGTTGTTGGAAATGTTGATGTTCTGCGGACAACAGGTGAGATCACTGACACCTCACCTCCAGGTAAACAGGAAGATTTCTGACTTCACTTCCTGTCTCTCTCTCTCGGTCTGTCTTTCCTCTCTGTGTCCGTCTCTCAGGTTGTAAAGCTTTCTGAAATCGTCTCGCTGGCTAAGGAAGCTCAAGTGGACATCACCTTCCAGCTGCCCATCTAAAGAAACCTGGACCTTTGACCTCCTCACCCCAAACCCTCCCTCTGTCTCTTAGCAGCCCACCACTCCCTCCCCCCCCTCAGACAGACAGCCAAGACGAGCCTCTCCCTCCTGAGGGGAGACGACCTCGGAGACTTTTGGTTTTCTAACTGGCATGATGGCATGACTGTACAGGCGACCAACCACAGCAGGTTTGACCTCGCTTCCTGTCCCTCCCCTTCTCAGACCTACAAACTTGTCTAGCACTTGAGTTGATACGCACAAACCTCCCCTTTAACTCCCCTCACTCCCACGCTCTGAGCGGGAGGCACACGTGAACCAGTCTGTACTTGTTGGGAAATGTTAAAAAAATAAAAACCGACCAGCTGAAGCGTTTTTCTGTTTGATTTCAGATTCAGTCACTGCGCTCGCTCACGTTGTTATTTTGTGTTTTCAGTTCAGTTAAAATTAATATTTGTGGGACAGCGGCCACGGTGGCTGCAGAAAGACGACTGGGAAGGCGCCAGGAAAGGGATTGTATTCCCGTTATTTTCATAAACGCATAGTGAGTGCCTTTTTGTTGTCTTTAAAGAGGAATGTAAGAGAACAGATGTGTTCCCTCCATGTTAAACTATTTAATCAAACATCAGGTGAAATGCTGAAAACACACAAACAACAGCAAGCATTGATTTAATTTAGTGTTCTGGCGCCTTGACATTATTTCTCCACCTCAGAAGTGTTCATCAGCTTTACTGGTGACCCTCCGTTATACTGTGGTGGTGAAAACCTCACAGACTTGCTATCACAGCTGGAGCTTCTTCGTCCAGATGTGTATTTTCAATGCAGAGAGCATCAGAAACCAAACATTAGGGTGTTGAGGCGGAAATCTCACAACCAGGACAAATGAATCCAAAACTATCTGCATGGGGTTTGTAGGGAAAAAAGTAAAGACCAACATAAGGAAACCGACAACAGGGAACTCTCATTATGAGGATATTTATAAATTTAGCTGCTTAAAGAAGGTCAAAGTTAAAGCTGAAGAGATGTGAAAAGAGGTTCAGAGTTGCTTTCTCACTGTCCTCACTTCATTTCAAGCCCAAACCAGAAGGGCTGGAAAACCGGTTCAGATCGTCTGACGGCCTCGACAGCCAGTTCATCTCAATGTTGGAGGCAGCCGTTGTAGAAGCCCCAGGTTCAAATGAACCACTTCACCCCCTCAGAGTGTTTCTCCTCCTTCGGATGTTGAATGCTGCAAGACTGCATTTGTGTTTCTGCGTATTTATTTGGTTCTACTGTAAACCCCCTTCATTGGAGAACAGGCTGCTTCAGGGTGGAACGGGAGCTTCTGCAGCAGCTGCCACTGTATTTTCAATCTGCCATTATGCCACACAGCAGCAGCCAGTTTCTGTCGGCATCTTCTTTGTTTCTGTAGATAATGTCAGACTTTGAGCAGCCGCGTCCTCAGAAGAACGCTAAAATGACCGAGGTGGTTTTTCTCCCGCTCTCCTCCCTCCTCTTCCAGCGCTGCAAACACATTGTGAGCTGTACGTCATTTATTATATCTTGTAAATAACCAAACTGATGTTCTCACTCTGTAAAATATTTAAATGACAAAGGAAGAAAGAAAATAAATACAGAGATGTTTCAATGTTTTTGTGTTTCTTTTTTTTTTCCTCCATCCATCAATCCACAAGTATGACCTTGTGTATTTTGTAGGTTAAAGTCAAGATCTTCTCTCTCACCGGTCCTCACAACTCCATGAATGTCCAAATAGACATTATTCAGATGACCCATAAGTCTGCTGTTTTACGCCAGTAACCTTCTCGAGGTTTTCTGGCACAAACTGATGTGTCAGTTTTGAAGGGATTAATGCGGCGAGCTATAAACATGTTAATTAGTGCGCTTTATTATAAAAATACTAAACTTTATTTATGGATCACTTATCAAAACAAAGTGCTTCACAAGAGAGACCGATAAAATACATGAAAAATTAAAAAAGCAGGATAAAATAAAATGAGAATAAAAACAGAAAAAGAAACAACAGCTCAGATTAAGTCAGCATATGATTTCAGATAAATGTGCGTTTGTAGAACACTTAAAAGAAGACATCTGACCGCCATCTGATTTCCTCGAGCAGGTCGTTCCAGAGCCTCGTGCCCCTGAGGCCAAAAACCCCTTTAGATTTAAGCCTGGACCCAGAAGGAGACCTCTGCACGAAGATCTTAGGAATGAAAAGGTCTATAATGTGACCTGCAGCAAGCTCACGGGGAGCCTTAAAACCATAGACCGTATATAAAAAGCTTAAAACATTGTTCACTGAAGCTTCAAACATCAGTAAAGAGCTCCTGCTTAGTTTTAGCTCCTGTCTCTGTAGTGTACAAAAACACAACTTTATAATTTTATTCTCTGGTTTTAATGAAACTGGACCAGATTTGATGGAGAAAATATTTGAATGTTACTGTAGCCGCTAACTACTGCTATCAGCAGTTCCTGCTAGCTACTGAGTTAGCCGTGCAGCTGATAATTCTGTCCGGACTGGAAACTTGGTGTTTACATACACTGAACAAAATTCTCTCTCTCTATTATTCTCTATGTACACAAAAGGCCTATTTCTCTGAAATATTGGTCAGGCGGTAAATCACTGATCGATTATGTGTGAACTACTCAACTATGCATCAAAACAGATCCCTGACGCATCGCCGACGTCTGCCAGATATTTAGCATGCCAAATATCGGGCAGACGTCGACATCCACATCCAGCCAATGAGAGCAGGCAGCTACTTTTTACTCACCTCCAGCTCTTTGTAGCTCAGACGATCCCTGCAACCTGCGTGTGCTAATCCATTCTTTCACCCAGATTCTTTGTCTTTATAATTGCTATCTTTATAATAACAAACAGATGTTTCATGTGTAGGTTTGCGTTATTTCACGACAAAACATGGTTTGGAGACCAGCGTCCGGTGACACAGCTGTCAGCTCGTGTAGTGTTTGACCCCCTGTCCGATCAGTCACGTAGTGTGAACGCCACAACGACTTCAAGATTCTCGTCACAAGACAGCAAGTTGTGTCGTGTGAACGGCACGGCCGACGCTGAAAGTTGTGTAGCCTGCACGAGCCTTTAGGCTGGCCACAATAAAAGGCCACTCCAAAATGTGCAGTTCCATCACACAGCACAACGCCACAGATGTCGCAAGTTTTGAGGGAGCGTGCAGTCGGCATGCTGACTGCAGGAATCTCCACCAGAGCTGTTGACCTTAAATTGAATGTTCATTTCTCTACCATAAGCCGTCTCTAAAGGCGTTTCAGAGAATTTGGCAGTATATCAAACCGGCATCACAACCGCAGACCATGTGTAACCAAAACCGGGCCCAGGACCTCCACATCCAGCATCTTCAACTACAAGATCAGCCACACAGTCGGTTTGCATAACCAAAGAATTTCTGCACAAACTGTCAGGAACCGTCTCAGGTCATTAAAGAGGAGTGGACCAGCACTCCACAGGCCACAATCAACAACCTGATCAACTGTATATGTAGTAGATGTGTTGCACTGGGTGAGGCGAATAGTGGTCACACCTGATACTGACTGGTTTCCAGACCCCCCCCCCCCCCTCAAATACAGTGAAATTGCACATTTTGGAGTGGCCTTTTATTGTGGCCAGCCTAAGGCCTTTTATTGTAAGTCGTGCAAAGACACGATGCTGCTGACAGAGTTTTTGATTTGGTATTTTTACTAAAATATTTTGTCTTGAGCAGAGATAACACTTACAGCCTACACTTAGTACTCTACATGTCGCCGTGTTTACTTTACGACGACTCCCAGTCGGTTTTCCGCCGCCACAGTCGCTTTTAACTCCCGTGTTACATTCAGTCCCAGCTCGTTATTGGTCCATGCAAAATAAAATCTGCATCCTCTGCATTACTATATTCTTTCGCCAAATCTTCTGTAACTACAGAACAGACCATCTGCTTTATGTTTACACCGGTACGCACACGCCCTGTGTACGTGAACGGCCGCTAGATGCACGTTTTCAGTCGTTTTAACACAGACTGAGATGTAGTCTGACACGCAGTTAAAACGCTGCTGTAGATGGAGATCCTATCCATAGTGTGGATGGGGCCTGAGGCTTTCAGTATGTCAGTTCCATGTACTGAAATCTTTTTATTCCCCTATGCTAAGTTAAATACAGTTTTCCATCCTACTGCACCTCCTAAGTCTGTAATAAATCCTCTTTATTGACTAAGTGCACAAAGAAAATGTTCAACAAGTGGCAGAAAACTCATTTCTCTGTGACAAAGCTGTTTTAGTGACAGAGACTGACAAACGCTCTTCTGCTCTGAACATGAACTCTGTACTTTGTGGTGTTTCAGGAGGAAAACTGCCTCAGTTCTACTCTCAGATTAGTTTCACATTTTCTCCATCAGCTCTGTCTGATACCCTGGAATGAAGAGGAGAAGAAAAGACTTTGTTCATGTTGCTTTATTCATCATGTAAACCTTCAGTTTGTTCACACATCCCATCAGTAAAGTCTGGTAAATGACTCAGATTCACTTCATCCACACAATCAGTGTGTTTGAGCAGAATCTCAGCTCTGTCAAAGAAAAGAATGAAGCATCTCCTTATTGATTCTGATCAGGAGAATTACACTTTATAATCCCTCATAGTCCCTCATTTGGACAACAACAACAACAACAACAACATTTGCTCTGCCAAACAAATAAATGTGAATGTAATTCTAGATTTCTTTCCAAAGTGAGAACAAAGTCTCTCCGATAAAGGAAGGTCTGCTGCTTTCTCTCTTCAGACCCATGCAGTGGAAGAGAAACAACAACATACAAATACATCAATCCAAATATTCAACAAACATTTAGAGCTCAGACAAGTTTCCATTTTCATGCAGAGAAACAAAAGTCATCCTGAGCAGTGATGGCCTCCATGGCTAAACAGACACAGGAAGGAGCTCCAACATTTCCACAGCAGCTGATGAGAAGACGTCAAAGTCCCGCCCACAGTGTTTGATTGACAGGTGAAGAAATGCCCCAACAATCAGCTCTCAGCAACAAACATGAAGACAAAAGAAGTTTAAGGATTAAAACACAGAGTTTAACCCACTGTCCCTGAAAGGACTTCTGACTATTTCACTTTACAGAACTCAGCAGAGTCTCCAGGAGAATAAAATAAAAACAAAGTCCAGCATAGAGAGGCTGAGTGAATGTGGTCTGGACTCTGTGGAGGAGAGTCATGGTTTCAGAGATGCTGTAGAAGGACAGAATACCTGCACTGTGATCCAGGTACACTCCTACTCTGGAGGACCGAGGACCTGAGACGGGAGTTTGGACTTTGTTGTAACAAAATTTATAATTGTTTGTGTCACAATGTAACGCCCAAGATTTGTCATTGAATCCAAATAAACATTCACTCTGCTCTGCTGATATTCTTGTATGCGACTGCTATAAAACTCTCCTCCCTCTCCACTCCACCTCCCAGTAACAACGTCCAGTCAGACTCTCTCTACTCAGGACCTGAAACCAATCAGCGAATCTGTCTGGGTGACTAGAATAAGACTGTTGTTGACTCATGAATGTTACTTTTCTGTTCCCCTCAGATAATAACAGCCGTATGTTTGCTGTGTTTGGATCCAGTGTGATTTCACATGAATATTTTAAGAATCCAGCTCTGGTCTTGGGCTCTGGTCCTGACAGTAAAACCTCCACCTCAGTCACTGTCAGCGAGACGTTTGTCCATGTCTCTGTCAGAACGTCCTGTAGTTTGTCTCTGACTTCTGACACAGCCGCTGTCACGTCCTCAAAGTAGCGCAGAGGACGGATGTTGATGCTGGATGAGTCTGTAGATTCACTGAGTGCTGACAGTGAGGGGTAGTTGTGTAGAAACTGGGTGTGATCCTCTGTGTGTGAGAGCTGCTTCAGCTCAGCGTCTTTCCTCTTCAGCTCAGTGATCTCCTGCTCCAGCTTCTCCTGAAGCTCTTTGACTCGACTCACTTCAGTGTCCTGCTGGGATCTGAGCTGCCGCTTCACATCGGACCTTCTTTTCTCCATCAGACGGATCAGCTCGGTGAAGATCTTCTCACTGTCCTCCACTGCTTTATCAGCAGAGCCATTGATAGCCTCCACCTCCTGCTGAAGCACCTTCACATCTTTCTCTCTGTCCTGGATTCTCTGCTGGATGTTTTGTCGACTCACCTCGAGCTCTCTCTGCCTCTCGGTCCTTTCTGCTGCAGCTGAGACTGTGTCGTGGCCTTTATGTTCATCCACAGGGCAGAGATAACAGATACTCTGCCGATCAGTACGGCAGAACATCTTCATCACCTCATCGTGACGAGAGCAGATGTTCTCCTGGAGCTTCTTGGAGGGCTCCACCAGCTTGTGTTTCTTTAACGGAGCAGCATCATAATGAGGCTGCAGGTGTTTCTCACAGTAAGAGGCCAGACAGACCAGACAGGACTTGAGGGCTTTCAGTTTTCTCCCAGTGCAGACATCACAGGCCACATCTTCAGGTCCAGCATAGCAGTGATCAGCAGGAGCAGCTTGGAGTCCAGTCTTCTTCAGTTCCTCCACTAAAACTGCTAACATGGTGTTTTTCAGCAGGACAGGCCTCGGTGTGAAGGTCTGCCTGCACTGAGGGCAGCTGGG